TTTTTTCATACATTTTTCTAGAAATTAACTTTTCTTGATTTTCTATAACCGGTGTTTAATCTTATTCTGTTTTTAATCTTGAAGTGCCTGATCTTTATCGCAAAAAATTAGTAATTTGCTATTGATAAAGGATTATTTTTTATGGTTTGGTTAATGCCCACTGAATTTCTCGTAATGTCTTCATGGTTACATTTTTTTTAAGGATGAGTAGGAAGAAATACTTTATTTTACATCTAATTTTTTTCCACTTTTGTCCTAGATTTGGTTGGGAAGCTGAAAGGCTCACCCTTTTACTTCGAACAAAAATTGCTGCTTTCCAACAGTCTTATTTTAGTAATTAAATGCAACATCAAGATCTTCAAAAATTTTTCAGCATCTCAACTGATCACCGTCATTTTGCAGAGTTCCACTTCGTAAACTTCCAGAAAGAAGGCCACCTGGTTTAGGCTTGGGGAATGACGTTAAACTGTTCAAAAAATACGACATAATAAATACGAAAGGAGTAGAAGACAAAGACAATCGGTATTTAAAGATTGGGTCTTATGTTCTGGTAAAGAGGGGAATTCACAGGTATATATGTAACTATCTACTTTTTATTTGTTACCCTGATCTAACTTCTCTACATTTTGATTATTTTTAATTCTTGGCTCAAACTTTAAAACTTCATTACTTTGTAAAACTTATTCAAGAAGTATCTCACATTTTGGGGAAAGAAAAGCAAATTGAAACTTTTGCAAAAAGTATTCTGTTATTTTTTGAGTTACAGGGGGCATTATGGACAGGTTGAGAGCATAGATTTTGATAACGCAAGTGTTGTTGTAAAACTCGCTCTAGTCAAAAGGTCTGTTCCGGTTAGCCAGTATCTGTTGGAAATCGTTGACGCTGAAGATTATGAGCGCAACGCTAAATGCATCAGTTGGTTTTTCTAATCTTTGATTGGTTTTTCCGGTAATTTTTCTTTTATTTTTGAACCTTGGGATTTTACAAGGCTATGCACTGCCTCTTCATGTGTAATTCAAGTTCTTTTAGTTAATGACGCCATATATGTGTTGATGTGCATCATGAGATTTTTGGGTGTAGAGAAGCCTGTGAATTATTTTTCCTAATTTCTTTAAGTGGAAACTGAAAGTAGTGGAAAACATTTATTTGCAAAGGATAAGCCTAAATTTTTGAACGTTTCTCAGATAAGAAAGCCTACGATGATGTTAAAGTGGCATTGGAGAAGGCAAACATGCCAAGCAACAGCAGGGAGGTCGCAAGTGATAAAAGTTCTGTTAAGGATCGGAGAGTGGAAATGTCGAAAAAACGGAGAATTTTAGAGACTCAAGAAACAGAAGTGCGAAGAGAAAGAGGAATGTGGGTACGACCTGAATTGAAAGTCAGATTTGTGAATAAGAAATACAAGGTATGTCTTTTTATTTTGCCACAATTAGTGTTTTAAAGTGTTCCGACATTTCACTATAAGCCACTTTAAAGAGTTATAATAGTAATGATGCAAGCTGTTGGTAAGAGAATATGTTGCAAAAAAGTAAAAGAGATTGGTCTTCTTCATCAGTCAAAGGTTGCGTTTTCCCGGACTGATAGCTGTTTTATTCTTTTCAGCTCATTTTGCGTAATTAATAAGTACTTTCTAGGATTTTAACCTTGTTGCTTTGGTTCTCTGACATAGTTCTAAATGGAATTTTTGTAAATATTTCTGCAGATTTGGTTGAAGGATGTTAACTGACACCATTTTTGTTTGTAAAGTTTTCGTTATTTTTTAGGATGGGAAGCTTTACAATGAGAAATTTGTCGTTGTAGATGCGCCTGATAGTGAGAATTGTGCTATTCAGGGACCTGAAGGAAGAATATACTACCGTAATTGTTTTAATCCACTGTTTGAGCTTGTATCGTTTTCATGCAGTTTAGTGTTATCAAAGTGAATTGGAAGTATTTTTTGCTGTTTATGAAACACTTGTTTGTTGGTTGTGAAGTGAGTCTTCCTGCATCACTTTATTGCCTTTTATCTACTTGTTCAGATATTCATGAAGATTGGTTGGAAACAGTGATACCTCATGAAGGTTCGTGCATAATGATTGTTGGTGGTCGTTGGCGTGGGAGTTTGGCAATGCTAGAAATGAAGGAACGAAAGAAGGAACGCGTTGTTGCACGTTTGTTACATTCAGAAGAAATAGTAAAGATCTCATACGACGACGTCTGCCATTGGGTTGGCAGCACGGATATTGATGATTACTAATTCAAATTCACTGTACAGTTGTTATTGTTGCCGTCATATTCTGCATACTAGTTAATTTATTTTATTTTTAAAGGGACGTAACCTATGAATTATTTACTATTACAGCAACTTGGGTATGTACAATACTAGACGTAGTTGGCGACCATCTATGAAATACAGAAATTTACTTTTTTTAACTTCGTCAAATACTAGTAGAGATTCATTTGTTTGAATACGGGAAAAGCAGAATAGGCTGGAAAACTTTAAGTAATTTATATATACTACTTTTTTTTCATATTGGTGCTCTTATGTTACTGTGTGATATTTCTGAACATCTGTTGTGAACTGAAAAGTAACTGTAATTGTTTTTGACATTGTTGTATGTAAAGTTTTATCTCAAAAATTGTAAAGTGCCTGAAGTGGCCGCTTAAATTTAGGAAATACGTCATTTCATGCGTCGTTAACTGGCAAATGGCTCGATCTTAGTTGTTATGTTCGCAACAATTAAATTTTTAAAATTGGGGCTGATGTTATAGGTTTTTCTTTATATGCTATAATTTTTAAAGGGGCTTAACTGACTTTTGGATGGTTGTGACAGTTCAAATCAAACTTTTATGGAGCATCAGAGGGTTTTTTGGGAAAATAAAGGACAAGGACTTGTGTAGTGTTTACTTTTTTTTAATAGAGGTGAAGTAATTTTTTTTAGCTTAGTCCCAATTTTCTTTTCATCCTCACTCTGAGGGCATTATGTGTGGTGGACACAAGGTGTTTGTAATATGTGTACATTAAGTTGTAAGCAACTGTTTAGATGTTTTTGACCAGTGGAGTTTTGTAACACTTTTTTGGACTTTTTGAACTACTTTATCGACTTAAATAAAATCAAAAAAAATTTTATTCATCGATGTTCATGTTACAACTACTCAATTATAATTTGGTTTTTTTCTATTTGTTCAAAAAAGGAGCAAAATAAACGGGGTGGGCGGACGTCAGATAATTCGTTATTGATGCTTCTTTGAGTGTTTGTTGTTTGGTACACCGCAAGAACAATAGTGTGAGAAAGTAGTTTTTTTGTTGTTAATCTACTAATAGTAGTAAACTGCACAAACGAAATTTTAAAGGGGGAGAGGAAAAACAGGGTTTTTAGCAATTAGGTTGCCCCGCCTCAAAGCTTTAGTTACATAAAGGCTTGGCGTCTCAGTTTTGGAGGCATCTAATTTTGTTCAAGACTGTCTTTTTTGACTGGACTGATCGTCTGAAGGCTTTCTGTCTCGGTTTTCGCCTTTAGTTATGCATTCTTCAGCAATTCTATTGGTCTTTACCGGCATCTTTGTTAATTCTTTTGGAAAACAAGTGTTTGTAGTTGTTCGCGATAATGTAACTCAAAATTGTCCAAATGGTAAGGACTTCTTAAATAAAGTTTTTTTCGATAGGAGCATTGGTTTGATGATTAATGGAGATGATAATCAGTTATTTTGATTAGGCTTTTTGTGGCACGTGAAGCTCAAATTTAAAAATTTTGATGGGTGAAATTTTATTTCTTTTTCATCTGATCAGCAATCAAATCAGTACTTTATAAATTGCCACTTCGTATCAATGAGTTAAATTTAAGACGGGCATCTAACTGCCCAGCATCGAGTTTTCTTAAGCTTTTTTCTATGATTATTATTAAAGTTCGAAACGAATTGATTGATAAAAATTCAATCCAATTCAACTTTGAAATGGTTTCCTCTGGTTATGGATCGGATCAGCTGACAATAACTACACGAACTGGGGAGACTCGAACGATTGGTTTTCCCGGGCAAGCATACTTGCTTATATTACTTTAGTTTTATTTTTTTTTATATTACGCTACACTACAGTTTGGTGAAATGTTTAAAACAGAAAGCCTAAATTATGGTAATTGTAAAAGGCACCTGATTTTGAACAAATAATTGCTTGGTTATTGCTTGAAAAATTCACTACCACAATTAAAAGACTTTATTTGTTTAGTAGTTCTATAAGCACTCAAAATTAAACTAATATAAAAACTTAGAAGAAAACTAGTTTTTTTAGAATAGTTTTTAAGACAGTGCACAGATTTATATTCTATTGTTGGAGTGAAAAATGTTCTGTGTTTTCATTTTATTGTAACAATTTATGTGAAGCATTATTTTTACTTCAGAGGTGATTTTTAGCAAACATTTCTTTTTAAAAATCAGTTAAACAAAAGTTTATCTTCAAAGTTTAAGGACGAAACAGTGTTTAATAGCTTATTAATAATATCTGGGTATGAAACAGTACAGCAAATATTTCAAATTTACATAAGCTGAAGGAATACTGTAGCACTTTTCTTTTGAAAGCTAAGCTGAATCTCAACAGAGTTTTATGGAAGAAGAGAAAAAGTTCTTATTTTTAAGGTTTTTCAAGATCTTTGCTCATGAAAGCTGTAGTAGCAACAAAGTCTATAAAACTTCTTAGTTTCAATATATACCTTGGTTACTAACCTTATTTTACTCTGTAAACTATTAATGTCAAGTCATCTTTTGGTAAAAGGTCTTTTGAACACCTAAGATTCCTGCAATTAATGATTTTAGTAATGGGTGCTAAGAGACTGACCAATAATTAGTGCTTAGAGATTGGTCAGAAATAAGGGGTTCTGATGAGCTGATAAAGAGATGGACATAAAATACAGTACAATAAGTCGTTACTGAGATTTTATGTTTATCACTTTACCAAAAGGTACTGTGAACAGTTATACGATTAGCACAATCTTAAATTATGGCTTCGGAATCAAAAAAATATATTTCAGAAAATTACATCTCATTCTTTGCAAATTTAATAGTCATCTTGCAAGCGAATATTGTACTTATTTTAGCTGCTACAATATTCAATTAAGTTTTCGCCTGAATCGTCCTCTAAAGAATCCATATGTGGAAGCTTTTCTTCAATTAGGCACCAACATTCCATGTGAATCAGAAGCAAGTCGTGGAGTCTCAAACTTCTGCACCAATATTACTCAATCTAATTGGTGTCCTCAGAGCACCAACGAACAATTGAGGAGACTCCTAAATGGCAAAAAAACATGGTAGACGTCTACCTCTTTATTTCTTTCATTTCTCTGAATCATTTTTTACAAATACTGTAAAATGCTAATTTATTATGAAAAATCTAATAGTTCACTTCAGTGGTGGTTATAAAGCAGCGGCCTTCAAACCAAAATGACTAGTAATTGCTCAACTCTACTTGCATAATGTAATCAAATTTTTTGCAGCCGATTTTGTAATCTCTGTGATAACATAAAATCCAAAGAGGGAGATGTAAGAAAGTACATTACAAGTTATGGAAGCCAGGAATGTCGAACAGACAAGCAATATCAAACGCTTAACTTCAGGGTTAATTTGCTATAATTTTCTTCGCTTTTTTCATTTGCAGATTATAGATGAAATGTTTTGATGTAAAATGACCTAGACAACCGACGAATATCGCATAAGAATAAGTGTAAAGCAAAAAAAAAAAAAAACAAACTTTTTAAGATTTGCACACCATCAAAGAAAGAATTTCGTGATCAGAATAAAGAACATGAAGAAAAACTTGAGGAGTATTGGAATTATCTGAAACAGGTAAGAGCTGAAAACTTTTAATCATTATAAATTCTAAAAGTTTAACAATTGCAGAGTAAAATAAAATTATTGCTGTTAACTACAAAATTTTGGTTTAAAAAAAAAATAACAGTAAATAAATGAACTGTTTAGGGCGTCTTGACAGCTGTGGTTCATGTCACTGACCGAGCAGTGGTATCAGAATCAAAACGTTCACAGTGTGAACGACTCTGCTCCACGTATTCATCGCAACGTGGAGTATCAACAGCGTACAAATCCACCTTGTTGAAGTCAATTGAAAATATGTGTAATCCAACGGATACATACGTCGCCTGTGTCTATCATACAATGAAGTTTGATGTTAATGGTGAATTTGCTTAATGAAACATTCCTTGTTGGTTATACCAAAAATATCAATTGATCTCCAAATGAACAGTAACTATTCCACTTCAAATACGGAGATATACTTTTTTTTTTTTTTTTTTTTTTTTTAAGCTTTTTTTT